CTAAGTCTCTTTCACAAGTCGACCTTTCTAGGTTGATGTTGTTAAGGCTGTATGTTAACAGTATTCGTTCTACCAATATTAAGTACGCTGCACTTGCTGGTGTTGAATTTCATTTGCCATTTCTCTGACCACTCCTGCAGTTTATTTAAATCCTCCTGTAGTGCATTTGCATCCTGCCCTGAATTAATCCGCCGCCCTGTTTTGGTGTCATCCGCAAACTTGATTATGTCACTGCTGATCGTTTATATAGATTATGAACAAGAGTGGGCCCAGTACTGACCCCTGGGGAACCCCACTGGTTACACAGCCTCACTCAGATTTAACACCATCTACGCTGACCCTCTGTGTTCAATCGGTGAGCCACGAGTTTATCCAATTTAAAACTTTCCCCTCGATACCATGAGCCTTAACTTTTCTCAGAAGCCTCTCATCTGGTACTCTGTCAAACGCTTTGCTGAAGTCTAAGTAAATAACATCGTAATTATCGTCATTATCTACTACCTCGAAGACGTTCCTACAAAACGTCAGCAGATTTGTTAGACAAGATTTTCCCTTTGTAAACTCATGAAAAGGCCAAAAAATTGCACAAGGAATAATTTTTGTATGATGTCACTGCGATTATTTACGTCTTGGAGGCGGAGAGGCTTCCTCTTTTCGCCATGTGTCTTATTCGAACAAGTAACTCGTTGACTAATAACACGTGAATGTACACAAGTACTAATACAAGTATTTTATAAATAGTAAACACACTGGCAGTGATTAATTGATGTTGTCAAGTATTTATTTACAGTTAGTGTAGACATGGCTTTGGTGATGTAATTAAGAGATTGTCCTTTAGTCCCCCGATGGTGTGTTCTAAAAGGAGGAACAGTACAGTACTTTGTGGTTACTCCATACTCCGTTTGTGTTTCTTGCTTGTCCGTCGATATCTCAGATACTTTTTAATCTCGGAAACTGACATTAGGATTCAATTGTCAATGTTTAGGTATTTAAAAAAAATTTATTCAAGGCGTGGCATGGGGGTAGGGTGACGTACAGTGAACGCTACACAAGTTGTTTTCATTATAAATGTTTTTGTTGTTAGACAGTAATATACTGTCCTTAAGTAGTTTGGTTTATCAAAATAAGTGCTGCAACATTTAACTAATCACGGAAACCCGCCTGAGAGTTAACCATGAATAAAGCCTAGTAATGCGACCGTCAGCCCTAGTGGAGACCAAACAGGTAGTAGTGTGTTACAGCCTCCAGATAGTGGTGAAGGGAGGCTCTGATTCGCTGTTTCTTAGAAACTAGTTTTATGTGCACCTCTCTTGTTAAGGTAGTGAAGTTGTTAAACCAGGAAGAAAATATTGCTCGTGCCATCTGCCTTCATGAAGCCTTGTGCTAACTGAACGTCCTTCACCTCTAAGCTTTTGCCGACTTAGTCCAAAGAAATAATCGGCAATGTTCGTTGGGCGGTGAGGTAAAATTAAGTCTCGTCCAAAGCACGTGAGAATAATGAAGTGTCGGCCTGTCCTATTTTAGCCAAAGTATTGCTAAATTCAATCGAGGTAAATACAGAATGTGTAGTGAGCGAACTCTTTAGCATCTAGAGGCCTTTGTAAACAGTGCATAGTAAAACCTGCTTTAGTAGTGTGATTTACTGACATTTGACAGAGTACAGCATCAGAGGCTTCTGAGAAAAGTTTAGGCTCATGGTATCGAAAGGAAAGCTTTAAATTGGATAAAAACATGGCTCACCGATAGAACACCGAGGGTCAGCGTAGTTGGTTTTAAATCTGATTGGGGCTGTGTAACTAGTGGGGTTCCCCAGGTGTCAGTACTGGGCCCACTCTTGTTCATAATCTATATAAACGATCAGCAGTGACATAATCAAGTTTGCGGATGACACCAAAACAGGGCGGCGGATTAATTCAGGGCAGGATGCAAATGCACTACAGGAGGATTTAAATAAACTGCAGGAGTTGTCAGAAAAATGGCAAATGAAATTCAACACCAGCAAGTGCAGCGTACTTAATATTGGAAGAACAAATACGGTCAATGTGTACAGTCTTAACAACATAAACCTAGAGAAGTTGGCTTGTGAAAGAGACTTAGGGGTACTTGTAAGTCCGGACCTTCGGCCTAGAAATCAGTGCGTTAATGTTCGAAATAAGGCAAACCGTATTAGGTTTTATGTCTAGAAGTGTAATAAGAGTGCGGTCTTATTGCAATTATATCTTGCGCTAGTCAGGCCGCACCTCGATTATGTTGTTCAGTTCTGGTGCCCTTATTATAGAATGGATATCTATTCACTGGAGTCGGTGCAGCGAAGAATGACAAAAATGATTCCGGGACTTAGAAACCTTAAATATCAAGATAGATTAAAGACACTAAACTTGCATTCCCTAGGAAGACGAAGAGTGCGGGGAGATATAATAGAAGTATTTAAGTGGGTGAAAGGAATCGATAAAGGAGATATAAAGTTCTTATAATATCCGAGCAGGATAGGACTCGTAGCAACGGATTCAAGTTGGATAAGCTTAGGTTTAGGAGGGAGATAGGAAGAAACTGGTTCACAAATAGGGTGGTAGACGAGTGGAACAAGCTTAGCAACTTTATAGTAAGCGCTGGAACGCTGGAAAGTTTTAAAAGGAGGCTAGATAGATTCATGGACGATAGGGAGTGGTTGCAACTCAAGTAAGGAGCTGCCATGCACAGGCCAACCGGCATATTGCAGACTCCTTATGTTCTTGTGTAAACATTTACCTCTTGCTTTATTAAGTAACCATGTACGTTGTTACTAGGGGTTGTTACTGTACATACTAGGTATTACTGTACCACCTCAGTACGTGACTACTGGTGACTGAGGGATTTATGCCTCCGGCTGTGTGTCAGGGCAGACGTCGTCACCCTGACCACTTATTGTTTGGCTTTCCGGGGCACAGTCAAGGGTCAAGGTCATTCTCTGCAGTAGGCTAGAATCTTCCTATATTTTTTTCTGTAATGTAAACAGTTATTTGGCGTGAACTGCAGCATCGGTAGTTTGGAAAAGGTCGAGTTATCTTTAGTGTAGATCCAAGCTGTTGTAGATATTTGTACATTGTAAAAATATTGATTGGTTGTAGGAGGACTTGAGGTGGTATAGTTGTAGCCGATCAGACCTCACTGCTGGAGACTTTCTACCCCATATTTAATTTTTGATGGATTAGTGTTATTGTTGTACTAACCTTGATGCTCGCTTAAAGAACTTCGTTGTTGGAGTTCACCATTTTAGGGTTGGGTAGCTGATACACGAGTCGCGGGTGTTGCTGGTAGGGATGGTGTACAAGAGTTACGGTGGCTCGTGGCTGCTGCTCGCTCTTACTGACCGTTCTCACTGTACCACCAGCGGGGAAGTAACGCTCTACATTTTTGTGTGAAATTCTCCCACTTATAATAAACCGGACTCACTCCATACGCACCGGAGAATTGTGAAAGTTGTCATCGTTTATATGAGCTTTTTCGTCTTGTCATTTTCTTGCTCATCAATAAGGTATTCTAACTTGGTGACTGAGAGCGTTGTGTTTATGATAAATAGTTGGAGAATGTTGGGAATATAATTAGGTGTCAGTGATTCACATGAAAAGTAGGCAGACGTGTCATGACAAAATCTCGTATGTGTCGTTGTGTGGGTGAAAATGTGCAAGCTTTCGCCTCTATGTCGGGACTGTGCAAGGCTTAAGGCTGTAAATATTCGGATGTGTTTGTGGTAAAAGTATATTTTTACCAACATGACCACGTACACACGGTCAAAAAGTATCTTTACGAAGAGTTCCGAATAATCTCAAAATGAACAATGCTACTTTTGTTTCTGTAAGTTTGTCAAAATCCTTCGACCGTTGTCATATTGTCTTATTATTATAAAAGTATTTTTTTATTGTGTATACACTTGTATTACTGGAGACTATACTAACACTTTCTCTTCTTTTTTCATCTGGGTTGCCGTTACTGTTTAGTCATTCACTACCTTGTGTTCTCAGCGCTGCATGGTACCAGTGTGACGCGTACGGGGTCACTACACCGATAGTATACTGCAGATTACGCGTGTTGCCTTGGGCCACACCCTGACCATAGTGTCAGTCATGCCTTCATGTTTATTGTGTTGGTTGTTTGGGGCCAGATTGTCATCATGGTGGATAGAATCATGTAAATAAAAGTACTATTGTTTGGTTGTCCGATATTTATTTAAAAAAACCGCTCACTAATAGGGGCAGGATATTATATATTTTATTTTACAAACTTATAGCGAGATTTGGGTCATTATTTTCCACGATTGACGACAATTAAAACACTTAATAATTTTAAAACACTTAAATCCATTTTAAAACACCCATAAAAACACTTGCACCCATTTTAACTCATTTTAAAACACTTGCGCATTAAAATATTGGCCACAGAAGCTTTTAACACTCGCCATTCCCTACGAAGTAACTGATTCAAACTCGATTATAAACTCAAAGGGGAACTGGATGCGGAGTTAATGTCGTCTTCGTAGGGAATAAAATTCAACCCAGAGACGAAGTTTTTAAGCGTGTTTTTCTGTGTTGTGTTGGCCAGGTTGACTACTGAGATTTGTTGTGATGTGTAGGCACCTATGTCGTGTTAAGGCAATGTCTGGACACTTATGTCGTGTTAGGTAATGTGTGGACACCTTCGTCGTGTTAAGGTGATGTGTGGCCACCTCGCATGTGATCTACGACCCCTTGCTGTCCTGCCTGAGTTTGTTATTGGATCAGCGAGAGTATACAATGCAGTGTTAACAGGTGACTCGTACCAAGACAGGAGGCTGGCAAGTGGATGACGTCACAAGTGTAAACCAAAATGATTGGCAGCTTATCATCATCAGTTTGTTGGTAAAGAGAGATCATAGATGGAGCTTTAATTATTACATAAATCATACAGGTAAATAGATAGATATATTTGTAGTTAGCAGTGTTGTGTGGGAGGTGGGCTAACCGTTAACTGTTTGGTCTTGGCAGATGTCTCGTCTGAACGGCGTGAACGGCTACAACGGGTGCGGGGAGGTGAATGGTGCAGGTAGCGGCTCTGGCTGCTGGACCATCGGCCTCATCAACGCTAAGGCCAAGTACCTCACCGCCGAGACCTTTGGCTTCAAGATCAACGCTAATGGTTAGTCTCTCTCTCTCTCTCTCTCTCATAGTATACAGTATATCATATTTTACAGTGACCGTAAATGATAACTTATCAGGTAGTCGAGTCCTTGTTTTACCTGTTGACCTTAGTGTAGTGATGTGTACTGTCATCACTGTGGTTGTGAGTTCTACTTGACCTACATATCTGTACTGTGTCTCAGGAGTGTCCCTCAAGAAGAAGCAGATGTGGACCTTGGAGCCTGCTGAGAAGGACCTCATTGCCTTCAAGTCTCACCTCGACAAATACATCTCAGTTGACCAGGTTATTAAGTTCCTAATTTGAGAAGTCTGTATGTTTGGGTATAGTGTGCTGTTGTATAATATAGTCGTGTATATTATGTATGTTAATATGGCTGTTGTATGATATAGCCATGTATATTGTATGTATAATGTTGACCACCTGCAGTATGGTAATGTGACGTGTGAGCACGAGGAGCGTGACATGTCGTGCATGTTCGAGGTCGCTGTGACCGAGGATGAGCACGGGCGGTGGGCGCTACGTAACGTGTCCCGCGGCTACTACCTGGGTGCTGGGGGCGATAAGCTCATCTGTAGTGCCAAAGTGCCTACTGATGCAGAGCTCTGGACCATCCACCTCGCTGCTAGGCCACAGGTAACCCCCAACCTTCACATTTGGCTTGTGCATCTTGTCAGTGTAAATAATAGATGAAAAAATCTTGGCTCAGAGTAGCACAAAGTGTTTCAGTTATATCCATGTATGGTATGGATACCTCTGGTTCTGGTTGTCATGAGTTCGGTTATAATTCTACGGTGTTGCCGTTGCAGGTAAACTTGCGGTCGTTGGGCCGCAAGCGGTACGCTCACCTGAACGAGGAAGGGACCGAGATTGAGGTTGACGCTAACGTGCCGTGGGGCGAGGACACACTCTTCACTCTCGAGTTCCGTGACCATAAGTACGCCATCCACACCACTAACAACAAGTATCTGTCTATGGACGGCAAGCTGGTTCCTCAGTGTACCCGTGAGGGCCTCTTCTGTCTCGAGTACCACCACGGCTCCCTCGCCCTTAGAGACCACCAGGTCAGTACCGCCAAAAACAAGTCTAATCTTACAATCATGCATCTAAAGGTATAGAAGTAAACGTTTTGCTAGTTTTATCACTAGCAGGTTATTAGTTTGTTATCGAAGACAACGCAGTCATTGGTGTTGGTGGCGTTAAGCTGTCAGTAGCCTTTTACTGCCAGTTGTTTGCCCCTGTAATAGCACCAGCATTTTGGGTGAGTATTTCTTGATCCTAATATGTTATTTCTAATGTTGTCCTGCACTCTTGTGACCTCTTGTTACAGGGTCAGTACCTGAGCCCCATCGGGTCGCGTGCTGTACTAAAGACCCGTTCCAACACAGTCACCAAAGACGAGCTGTTTGCCCTCGAAGACTCTCTTCCCCAGGCCTCCTTCGGTGCCCTCCTCAATGCCAGATACGTCTCCGTCAAGCAAGGTGAGTGCTGTACAACACACACTTCCTGATATGTATGGTCACGTGATGAATGGTTCATCTTCAACACGAGATTTTGTGCTCCTGAATCACTGGTTTTTCTGTAGCTTCGTCTGACTGAACCATTACTATTCAAGAAATCATTAAGACCATAACATGACCATAAATGATACCATCTTCAGTGGGTAAGTAAATTTATAACCCCGGGAGCTGCTGTGGGGGCTGACGGGAGAAGGTTCATAACTGGGTTAATTGATGGTGTACAGAGGGTCTTATAATGTGCTTTTGTCATGCTACGTTGTTGGGTCATGGCATAAATTAGTTACTACCCGAGTAGAGTGTAGGATAGTGAGTACAAGTTGCCGGTACAAGGGGGGAGAGACGGAGGGAGAGACGGAGGGAGAAGAGATTAGAGAGAGAGAGAGAGAGAGGCAGAGGAAGAGAGAGAGGGGCAGAGGAAGAAAAGAGAGAGAGAGAGAGATGGGGGACAGAGGAAGAGAGAAGAGAGGGGGCAGAGGAAGAGAGAGGCAGAGGAAGAGAGAGAGGCAGAGGAGAGAGAGAGGGCAGAGGAAGAAGAGGGCAGAGGAAGAAGAGAGAGAGAGAGGAGGGGCATAGGAAGAGAAGACAGAGAGAGGGGGGCAGAGGAAGAAGAGAGGGGCAGAGAAGAAGAGAGAGAGAGGCAGAGGAAGAAGAGAGAGGGGCAGAGGAAGGAGAGAGAGAGAGCAGAGGAAGAAGAGAGAGAGGAAGGAGAGAGAGGAAGGAGAGAGAGCAGAGGAAGGAGAGAGAGGGCAGAGGAAGGGGAGAGAGGAGAGAGAGAGAGAGGGGGCAGAGGAAGGAGAGAGAGAGAGAGGGGGCAGAGGAAGGAGAGAGA